GGATATTTAAACTGACTTAAAATATTTTACTAATGAAGGTGAGTATGTGTCCCAGAATCTAATCTGGGTCTGTGTCCCAGGATAATGTTGCAGGATCTAACTGTGTCAAGTCATGGGACCAGAGGTTTAGTCTTCCGAGATTTCAGGCTCTTCCTAGAGCCCATCCTCAATAAATTTCTCTCTACCAGAATGTGTGGTAGAGAGAAGTTCTCTGAGGTGGGCTCAAGCACAAGTCTGAAAACTCAGAAGACTAAACCTCTGGTCCGGTGACCAATCCAGATTGTATTCTGCATAGTAATGAAGTTAAACGTTTGGGAAGCACTGCATTAAACCATAGCTGAGTTTATACAATAGAAACCACAATGGCTATGCTCATATTTCTAGATTGCTGGACTTAACTTTATTTCATAAAAAATACAGTGCTAGTTATTTTTACAGAAACTTGCTACCACTAACATAATTACATCAATTTTTATCTAGAAAATTGCATGAACAAATGACTATTATCCATACCCTCTGAAATCCTTAGAAACATAGAAATGCACTTCATATCTCATGTGAAACACATTATACACACATACATGCATACATATCGATTACACCATGTTGTTTTTGCATTAATTACTACATGGGTTTTTTTCAAATATCTAATTTTTTAATTGTCATTTTACAATGTGCAAATATATATCTTCTCAAAATCTTCATTCTAACATTTCTAAAATGGCCAATACACTATTAAAAGTTAATTAGTCAGTATTGCACTGTTTCAATAAGCAATAGCAGATTATGTTTTAGGTTTTGGTACATTGTAATACTTCCCTTCTAAAAGCAGTAACCTTGTAACTTAACTTAGCCTTTATGAATGGTAAATTATCCAGATTATTGTTTTCAACATTTATTTTAATTGATAAAATTCTCATTTTATTTACATTTATTAACATCAGTGATGTATAGTCAAAATGTATAACACACACAAAATAGTTTGAAATAACTTAAAAAATACTTAACTCAAATTTCCCTTTTTAAAACTTTTTTAAAAATATGTTATTATTATATTACTGCATTAATATGTATCAGGAGGGAGAGAAGAATAACCAATACCTAATATCAATGTCCCCAGTGAATACAATACAGCAAATTGTGTACCCTTGAAAATATTCTCCCAAAGAAGATACTCATAATACAAACTATTAACATTACAAGATAATTCACCTTCTAGGTATAAGCTACATGTAAGCTACAAATGTAGAAGGCATGTGAATTGAATATGCCAACAAAGAACACGTAGGCATTTCAACGAGATATATACATTTTTACTTTATTCTTATAATCAACTATTCTCTTTTGTTCTAAGATCAAACTAGTAGTCACCTGATCTGTTTTCCCCCCCCCCCTTTTTTTTTTCTACAAACATAACACATTTCAGTATTCATGTAGGCCAGATTTCCTTCATGTGGCTTTTTAGGTAAAACTGCTAGCCTATTAATTAAGAGAATAATAGAGATTAGCATGAAAACAATATTAAAACTATCTAGGAAACAACAGCAATGCCTTAGCTTTTGCACTTGCCTTGGGTGCCAACTCATGCAGCTTACTTACAAAAATAATTGATGTTTTACAATCTGGAAATCCAAGTGCATCCAAACTAACGCAAACCGGAATAAACTGTATCTTTTCTGCTGTAAACAAAATATATTTCTATTTGATTGATAAATGCAGTATTAGACTTCTAATATTTTTAATCAATGTGCTAAAGCAGAATTAGTTATATGAGTTTATTGAAATAAGAAACATGGTGCAACTCCATGACATATAAATAAGACTCAGAAACACTGTGTGAAATGTGTGTTATGTGTTATCATAATTATTTTAAGGACACATAATATATCCCAAGATGCATTAGGCAGTCTAAAATAAAAGCATTTGTTTCTTTATAACTCCAGAACAGCAAACACCAGAAGGATTAAATTATTTAGAAAAGAAATACACACCAAAAATAGTTCATTTCAATAAAAAAGAGGAACTTTAAAAATGTGCTGCTATAGAATAAAAAAGTTATCTATTAGAGGACGGGTTTCTTTTATCTGAAGTTCTACTGCAGCAAATAAATACAACAGCTTTCATTCAGTGATTGTCAAAAAACTTTCCAATGTGCCCACTGCAATGCAGATGCCAACCAACGAATCAAAGGCATTCACAAACTAGACAAAGAGGGTTTGATGCCAACCTCGGTGCCACTGGCAACCATTATTGGCATCAAGCACATTGTCTGCTTTTCCTCCCCCACTCTGCTGGCACTTGACAAACAAAATGGCGGTTCTTGTAGAAACGGAACACAGCACAAGAGCTGTACTGATTGAATCAAATATTACCAACTGATTTTATAGAGACTGAAACAGAGCCTATACCCAATTTTAAAAAAACTAATAAATATATCCTTTTTCAGCTAAGCAAGATACTGTAATCCTAATTCTTAATTTTGAAATGAATTTAACTAGAACATGTAGCATTTAAATAAATGTTATTAAAACGGGCTTCTTGCTTCATCTGAACACCTGTAGACCACAAATTATTTTAAGACTATTTTCTGCCCCCAGCTAGCAAAATAATCAACATCAATCAAATAAGAATTTAATTCTCTTGTGTTTTGAAACTTTAAGATAGGAATTCTGGAAAAAAAAGTGATGGCAAAAGAAAGGGCTTTTTTTTTTTAGAAAAAGACTTATACACTGTCAATATCGTAACTTGGTAGGCTGGTCTGTATTTCTTCCTTCAATGCAGATTTGGAAAAACTGAAAAATACTCTCCAGCAAATAATAAAAGTGACTTATATTTCTATATCAAGAAATTCTCAATATATTGTAGCATTACTCTGCTCTGCAATGCGGATACCAACTAACAAATCACAGGCATTCTAGTCTAAACAAAGAAGGTCCAATGCCAACCTTGGTGCCACTGGCAACCATTTCTGGCTCTCAAACTATTCTTCCTCATGTTTTTGCCAATATTTCAATATAGCTCCATTTTATTATTTCATTCATTCAAGAATTTTATTGTTTTTTCAACTCTCCATGAATTTTTCTTATCATCCCACCGTAGATATTCACAAACTTAGCTAGAAAACCAACTCTCTTCAAAAATATTTTAGTTTGATATAACTCATGTATATATGTAAGCAGCCTTCACTCCCTGCCTGCCAAAGGGTTAAGAGGAAGCTACCTTGAGAATAATTCAAACCTAGAATCTTTTTCAATACAAAGGAAAAATGGCTGAAAATATATTTCTACCACAAAAACAGTAATTCCAAAACAGCCTTTAGCAGCTTCACTTGTGATAGTGTCCTTCTGTAGGTAACCTAATATAGATACCAACTTTTCATCCACAATTGTCACCAACTGAAAAAATATTGGAAAAATCCAATCATCTTAGAAAACATTTACAGAAGTTATTTTGACAATTCATACACAATCCCTAGTATCATCTGATATCACCATTGTTTTACAGGAATCCTTCTGTCAATGCAAGCAAATACAGCCTCTGAAGAAATATATATGCACAGATATAAAAATGCTGTATCCCTTTTATTTTCAGATACAGGTGATTTTCTAATGGAGATAATATGCAACCAAGTTAAATGTTCCATCATAAAGTCACTGACTAAGTACAAACTTCACATATAGTTTAACATAACTATGTTAACTATATTTAACACTTGTTTCAGTTACTAAACATTATGTCTTTAAATACTCTTTGAGATAAAGGGAATATAAAGTTCATACAATCAAGATCAAAATGTTCACTATTGATTGTTTTTCATTCAAGATTAATTTGCAGTGTATTTAAATTCATATAATCCTAAATGAGGGTTCTCCTTCAATCCCAATCAAGGATTGCAGATTTAGATTACAAGAATTTTCAAATGTATATCACAGCAAAGTTTAGAGAGTTGGTCATGCTAAAGTCACATTGAAACCAATGGAACGTAAATAGTATTCACTTGGTTCTAAACTGGAATCCAGCCTACATTTTATAACTGCTATCATTGTTGAAAAACAGAACTGTGTTTTTTATGGTAAATGTTTGTTTTTCATGGTAAAACTACCACACAGTAACTGTATACTATATACAGTTAGAAGTCAGCAATGACAATATTGGACTGAATTATACAAAATCAACACTAAAAATACCAAGAAAAAGCCAAGTCTTTTGGTAGTATCGCCAGAAACATGAAAAATAATTTTACTTTTTAATATTTGTATCAACATTCCCCATCCATCTTTCTTTTGGCAGTTTCCAGGACCAGGCCAATTTTTGTCAAAATTCGCCATCTGCAAATACTCCATGATTTTAACTTAGATATATTTATTATGTGGTTCTAGAAACAATCTACCATAATGGTTACAGGCTTTAATGTAAAAAATGTACGTAACAAAAAAGATAACAAATTCTACATTAGATCAATTATCATCACTGAAAACAAATCATATAAGCAGATATACAATCATAACAATTACAGAAGTTTTTCATTACAACATAATTTAAAATAACCATATTGAAGCAATGGTTAAAATAAGTGCACAAGTTTTTACCTCAAAATTTGGAGAAATGCCACACTATGAACACTGATAAGCGACTATATCACATAATTATATTTATTGCATAATATATATATAAATATATAAAATATCATATTTCATTCTTTTATTTAATAGTTCTATTGTAATGAATACAATTGTTATGAATGTATATGCTATGAATATATTCTGTAACACATACCAAAATCATTCGTAGTATTTTTCAACTTTTATAACAAATGTTAATATGTATTTTGGATTCTCCTGCATCTAATGTATACATTAGCAAGCACGTATCAATATCTGTAAAGATATATGAAATGTTTACAGCTTTTTTTAAAAAAACAAAAAAGTGGTATAGCGTATTCATGTGCATATGTGTATAAATATCTGAATAAATAAATAGAATATTTTTAAAAGCCCTACCTTGATCCTGCACATAGTATGCCAGAAACAAATCAAGCTCCTTGACAGATACTGTTATGTGATGTGGTTGAACGCAAAGTGCTGGATTTGTGCAATGGGGGGATTTCATGAGCCGTTCTCCATCGGTACTTTCCAGGGGGATACCTTTAAAAAGGATCACCATGACTAGATCCAGGCGCCAGACTTTGTCTGCTTGCCTAAGACAGTCGATTCTCCTAATCTTGCCCTTCTGGTCAGGATTGGATAATACACAGCATGGGTGCTTCTTCCCAGTAACAGTAAGCACAAAATCCTCTCGATATTCTTGGCGGATATCTTTGCGCAATTTGGCGAGAAGCCTGGATGCCCACTTCTGTTTAATTTCTGGCTTTTCACTAAGTAACTCATCCTTGACTGCTCTTTCTTCATCTTTTGACATTCGCTTTTCATGTTTTTTAAAGTACTTGCGTTTTCGAGCCTGAAGGTTGAACCACGTATAGGCAATTGCACGGACATGTGGAAGAAGTGCCTCAATGAATGGGTGAAATTCATCCTGTTAGAAGAAACAAAAAGAAAAACTAAACTTCGGGGACCAGTTTTACTTATACAATTACAAACAATTATTTTTGGGGGGGAAATCAGTAAAATGAACACTTATGTATGCCATGAGCATTCCTAAGCATTTTCAGCAGGCTTACAATTCTTAAAAAAGATACATACATGTTATAAAAATGTATGTCTATAATTCACTTATGGAAGTATTATAATATTTTATAAATACATCAATTCTTGGGCTTGGTTCCAAACTGATATACAATTGTATTAGTTTAAAATTAAACAAAATGGCCCTGGAATTTTGAATGTTTTGGCTATAATTTAACAAATGACAAATATTGGCACAGCAAATTTTAAGACAAATGACTAGAAATATTATAAATGTAGAAGTTAATATTGCAAATAATTTACCTTCTGTATTTGGAAACATTATGGCATACATGTTCAATGTTGCATTATGTAGTTTCCACTTTTGTCATCAGCAAGAGACTGATGGCAACACAAAGACTATGAACAATGAAAATATAACTCAATCCCTTATTAATCACCCAACATTCCAGTTATCATAGTATTATTCTAACAGGAATAACCACAGAAATCAAGAAATAAGGCAAGAAAGGCCAAAGGAAAGACATAGTTCTAATAAAATTAGGGTACCTTACAGCGTTCACTAGCTGCCCATGTTTCCCCGCTTAACTTTACCCCCCCCCAAAAAAAAATTTTTAACTGAAAATTACATGGAACTGTAACAGAATTAATTACTTATTAACTCAAGGATAGTCCTTAAGTATGTAATAATTATTTCATCCCACTCCAAAAAAAAAAAAAAAAAACACCTTTTAGGTACACAAAGAAAAAAGGATAATTTGAAACAAACTTTGTCTTCTTTGTGATCTAACACTCTGTAACTCTGTGACGTTAACACTGTATTATTGGATAATCCTGTTTTCTGAAATACACAGATGTATTGGACTTGAAAACTTTTCCTTTTACAGGCTTTACCTAGCTATTCATACAGATTTTCTATATTTTATTATTTGTTTCAATTGACTAAATGTTGGCTAATACTAGCAATTACTTTATTTTGATCAATAAGAACTACTAAGGTGATGTGCCTCAAATTTCGTCTTTGTCACATACAATATATAATTTACTTCAAAGAAAAATTATCTCTGTAGCCCTGGCACCTATCATAAGATTTGAGAGAAAATTGTGGCAAAAGAAGAGCAGTGTTATTCATTCATTTGTTTGACCTATAATTTTAGACCATATTTAATTCAAATTGAATTTAAATCATAATACTGTAAAATATTGATGCTAAAATTAGTCCTGATATAAAATTAATTGTATTTTTCAAGCAAAATGGTAGCATATATATTAATATACTTAATTGTTAACTTAATAAATTGGAAAATGAATGTCATTAATTTTAAGAATCCTATATTTCAGTTTGAGAATATAAAATGTATTTATTCTATTCAAAATTCCTGTAGAGTTTTATCTAACAGTTCATACAATCAACTAATACTCAACAAAAGTTCATGCAAAGTATTCACACCAAATACTGAAATCTTCTTTAAATTGAATCCTGCATTTTTATAAGTAAAAATAGCAAGATTTTTTAACACCTTATAGTAAGACTTTTTAAGAAGTACTGTAAGACCTGCAATGTTATTTCAATTTTGGTTTTATATATACCTCTTTCCTTTTTAAGGCAGACATTAATCAACTAGAATAGAAATACAGGGCATAAAAAGAATTATAATACAATTAAAACAAGGTTTCAAGCAATTACTAAAGTCATAAGCCATTCTACCCAGATACTTTTAAGTTTTCTGTTACTTTAAGAGAACAAACTACATTAAGGAAAGAGTTAAACCACAATCTGCTCTTTGTGTGGGAAGAGAGCACAGCTTAGAGCAACCACAGCCCTCGATAAGACTTCCCTATCTCAGTGCACTCTGGTGCCATTTTTTTTACTACTAGTTTCTTTTTCTCAAAAACTGAGCGCTATAGAAATCTTAGTAAAACATGTATTTTAATAAGAAACTTGTTTCATTACTTCTAACTTATATAAGAAATTATTAAAAAGCCTAGAAATTGAATGGTTAGAAACTATGTCCAGTACTGTTTAAAGTTATTTTACAATATATATTACCCCCATAAATTCCAGTCGAAGTTCCTGTGATGTTGACAATTCAGATCATGGTATTTGGCATTACTTCATTTTAATCACATTTGGGAAACTGCAGACCCAACTCAATGCAACAGGATAAATGCATGGTCTCTGTGATTACTAGTGCTACATATCCTGTGTTTTTAAAATTATGTTCACTGGTTACAAATTCTAATTTTACATATAAAGTTTCCAGAATATATTTACTGCTATAAAAATGCAGTTATAAAATCCAAGTTATCTGATAAAAAACATACATTTGTGTTTTTAAACTCCTGCATTAAGTAACAGACCTTGGCATAAAATTCATAATTAAATAAAATTACAGTCACTAGTATACATATCAACTATTGTAACATTCCAAAACATTGTTTAAATAAGAATTGTTTCTCAAGTAAAACTTATGTTACATAGGTTCTCTTCAAAAATTCTTATACACTCAGTATGAAATTTGGTATTTTGAAAGATGCACAATATAAGAGAAAGTTGTATTTTGCATAGATTGCAATAAAAACAAAGAGCAAACTTTTTAACAGATAAATCAAGCTTCTTAAAGTTATTTTAAGCCACAATCGTTATGGATCTACAATCATGGTCAATTTCCACAATATCTTCATGTTATTTACCTTTCCCTGTAAAAGAAAAACTTTTTTTCAAAAAAAAATGAAAAATGATTTCTTATTTCTATCTTACCTTCCTATTAGTTTGTTATATGAATTCAGAAAATTATTTCACAAAATAAACAGTGCAAAAATATAGCCAAAGGTACGCACACTTATGTTTAATGTTCAATTTAGCAATTCTAGCTTAGATATAAAATTCCGTAAATCTGTACTTACTGCTTGGACTACTTCTTTAAAAAAGACTTCAGCTGTGAGTACTAACAACTATTCATGGATCTAAAAACTAAGTTTACATTAATTACACAAAAGGAGGAATGTGTTCAGATAATCCTGTTTTATTTAATCAGGTTAGGTTTCCAAGATATAAAATGTCTATTGACACCTCATTTATTCTTATATCTTATAGATTTCAATGCAACTTAATTTGACTCCAAGGTAACCACAACCGTACAATAAAGTAACCGCTCCCAAAATCCAAACTACTGTACTATTTTTATATAGATTCTTTTTAAAAAAAGGTTTGTCAAATGCATGTTCTATACAGTTTCTAGCCTATCAAATATTCCTTTTCTTCATTTCTACGATTTCTAACAACAAATATATTATAAAATACCAGTAATACAATATTATATTCACCATAAACCTGCTCTACAAGCATGGGACAATGGGTATGTATTCAAAACTTGAGGGGGATCTGAATTTTGTCCCAACTGTTCTTATAAGCTATTTATACTTCAAGTCTGTGAATTATAAATTCACAAACTAAATAGAAAACCATCTTAGAAATCATTTGGGGAAAACAGTATACATTTCATCTCAAAACTAGTGGGCATTTTGTTGAAACACTTGACTTATCTTAAATTGGTCAATACTAGGTTTGCCGTAACACTGTTTCAGACTTGTAGATTGCATGCAAACCATGCCTAAATAATTTATTTTGTTTTGGAAAAGACAATGTGACATTTAATACTATGCTTATGGTAAATAAGCAAGTGATAAAACTTGCTTAATAACAGTCATGGAAAAATTTAATACTGCCCTGTAATAAGTTCAGGCACAAATATCCTATTCTAAAACACTTCTGTGAATTGAGGCATTAGGCCAGAAACAAGAAAGGATTATACCTTATGTTACCATTAAAGCATACTACATTAAAAACTTAAGCTAAATTTTCACCTATACCTATCTCCACAGAAACCCAACTATATGATGATCCTAGGCCAGTAACCATGGCTTTGCAAGGGAATACTATGAAACTAATAAATATTTCTATGTGGCTGGTAGAAGTCTCCTTAAGTATTAAATGCGTATTAACAGAGAGAAAAACAGTATACTGAATTTTACAATGTTCTGCCAATTGATCAAGAGACATAAACCGTGTGTGCGTGCTGATGTGCAAGTGCTGACTTTTTATAATTTCTCAAATACCTCAGAACACTTTTTACACCTGCTTTGCATCAGTAAAGTTCCCATTTACTGGCTAAAAAGATTCCAAAGTTAATCACATTTTGATGCCAAACAAAATATAAACAATAAAAACGTGTCAGCCAAAAAGCTACAGGACTGTATCCAATCACTGAATAATCCTTATCATTGTTTTAATCTTCATTCATAATTTGTGAATGCTCCAGTCCAATAGAATTACACTGGTTTCCAATTGTCAAAGGAAAGTGTTATTATTTTGATCATAATACCAACCAAAATATTACATAACAAGTATTAGCTATATTACTATACATTAACGTGTTCAAATTGTACCCTAAGATTTCAACTAGACCTGATTTTTTTACATGCTACCTGGAATATTTAATGAATGAAAAAATGGTACAAATGTCACATGCTTTAGACACTTGAACATCTCAAAGCATTTTCTGTGCTATAATTTATATTGGATCCGACTCTGCACTCCATTTTTTTTCCTATTGAAACATCTATGCCACCACCAACCTTTACTCCAATCACACCATGTGTTGCAATTCTAACTTAAGTTATGTGAATGGAAACCATTACCTGTTAAACCAACGTGAGTTTTGTCTATATGTTCTTCAAAGTAAAATCATGTATGTGTAGTGTACAAAATTACTCAGTTTTAAAAAATACACGAGTGTCTGCAGGCCTAATATAACAGGAAAAGGTTCAGTTTTCCTTATGACCTTGGGTGTTGACTTCAAAAAGTTTGAAGTACCGGAATTTATCAAGAAAAAATGTACAGCATAATGAAGAAAGCCTTCAGCTAAGTCACCCTTTCTCAAATCAGCCTGAAGTATATATAATTAATTCAGTACGGGATGGCATTATGTTACCAGTCATCGCTTAATTAAAAATAAGGGAACACTTTCCTTTTTCAGGTTAAGTACAGTCTGCAAAACGGACCATTATTTTGTGGCGAATTCATATGAATCTACATGACGTGGCTGCTAGTTCTAATCACTTTTACCCTGCAAGAGTAATTTAATAATACTCGTTTATCATTGTCATTCTGAAATATTTATATTTCGTCCCTATCCCTCACACACACACCTTTTAATAGGTTTATATCACAAGTACATACATTTTTAGTTTCCCATCCTGTAACAAGGACGGAACGAATATTCCTTTGAACAGTTCCAACTATATAGGTATTCGGTGCAACTCGTTACAAGTTTACTTTCTCCCCCACCCTTAAAAAAATAAAGGAAAATAAAAAAAAGGCGGCTATACCTGAGTGAGACAGATGGGAGAATACATCATGACTTCGCTCTAAGATAGTACTTCTGCCGAAAGGAAAAAAAAGTATCAAAAGCGCAACGGTTTCATCTATTCATTTTACAATCATCTAACGCTTCCAAAAGGAAAAGATGGATCCGGATCAAGGTCTGTTTTGAATCGCCACAACTTCGCAACCAGCCCCGGTCCTCCTTAAATAGCCAAAGATTCAAGTTCACTCCGAGCGCTAGATTTCCCGGGGTGAAATCCAATCTACACTTTTAACCCTCTTGTTCTCAGCGGCGGCGGCGGCGGCGGTTCACTCTCGCTGCTGTTTGTGCAGTGGCTGCTGGTGAATTGGGACAGGAGGCGGCGGAATGGGGGCGGGGGGGTGGGGGCTGAATGGAATGCAGGGAGTTAAGGGGGGGTCCGGGTTTTCTTTTTTCCTCCTTCCTCGCGGTTTTTTTTTCCCCCTTTCTCCTGGATTTCCAAGCGCTTTGGAACAGCAGCTAGCGGGATACACCACGGTACTATCAACCACGTTGCCAAAGTTCAAGGTTGCAGCGGCGGAGCAGGAAAATCCTGGCGTATCTCGGCAGGCGAAACTTTGCAACAGCCCTGTGCAGTAGAGCGCCAACCCGGGAGTGTGTGCGTGCGTGTGTGCGCGTGTGTGTGTGTGAAAGAGAGAGAGAGAGAGCGCTCGTCCCCCAAGGCTGCAGAAAGAGTTCGCAGCAGCGCGCAAACGCTGAGCTTCTTTCGCAGCAGCCTCTGCCTCCCTCTCTCTCCGTGTGTGTGTGTGTGTGTGTGTGTCTCTCTCTCTCTCTCCACCCCCTTTCTCTGTGGATAATGTTCAGAGCCTGCTTTTCAAACGCCCACTGTAATAAAAATGATCTCTTGAAAATTCAAAACGATCAATCTCTGCTTTCCCCTCCTCCTTCTCCTCCTCCCTTACACCCTTTCCCCTTTCTTCGGTGTACTGGTTTCTGCAAGACCTGGAAGTTCAGCAGTGGGGAGGGGGGGAGGATATTTTACCCGAGAGCGCCTTTCTCTGGCCCTTCCTCCGTTGTATAGCTTTCTCCTCCAAACACTTTGGGATTTCGGTTTATTATTTAATTACACAACCGACGCATACATCCCTCCCCACCCCCCCGCCGTCGCTGCTGCTGCTGCAAATGCATTCCTTCCCTCTTCCGAGCCCCCCCTCTTCCACTCCTTTCCCCTCTCCCTGCCTTTCCTCTTTAATCACCGCCGTACAGTACCAGAGCTTGGCCAACACATTTTTCCAAACGCGCTTGCTTTTTGCACACACTCTCACTTTCTCCTTTCTCTCCCCCCCCCCCACCCCCCGCTTCCAGAGGGGGACTGAAAAGCGGGCCCGCTTGGGGGCAACTGGGGAGCGTTTTCGTAGTTCAAGTTCTGGAAGAGCGAAAAAAAGAGCGCAGCAGCAGCAACCAACACACCGCCCGGTGGAAAATTCCTTCACAGGAGGCGGGGGGGGGGGAAAGAAAGGGTGGAGCGAAAGAAACCCCAACCCGGCCTGTCTGCAGACCCTGAATCTCGCCGGTCGAGGGGAGGGGGCTTCAAAGCGGGAAACTTTGTCTCTTCGCTACCGATTAGACAACAGGAACCTGGGGAGGGGGGGAAGCGGAGGAAATGTGCATTGGCGGCTCTTCCCCCCGCATACGTTGGCAGCCTAGGCAGCGTCTGGAAACCCGCGACCCCGTCCGCCTGCATGTGGAGCGAGGTCACCGCACTGAAGGCTCGCTCAGATTTTTCTCCCTCCACGCCGCCCTGAGAAAGTGAAAGGCCGGCCTGCTCTTTGCAGACCCCGGTGGTGGAAAGGCGCCATGCTCGTAGGGAACCCCTTCCACGTGGCCTCCATCCCCCGCCTGAGACGTTTCACTCCTGCCCGCAATCTGATTTGTGGGGCTCCGTTTCGGGCAGCCTTTTTTTTTCTTTTTTTTCCACCAGGGTGCGAGGAGGAAATGGGTGGCGGCCCCCCTGAGGGAAACCAAATAAAAAATAAAATAAAACCCGCTGCTGGAGCAATAGGCTCGCCTGCTTTCAATCTCACCCACCAGATCGTGCCAAGAAGAAGTTCGCGCCCGCGGGTTTTTTTTGTTTTTCCAGGAGTGCAGCATATTAAAACACACACACGCACTAACGACGTTCTCACACTCGCCCTCAGGCGGGAAGTCAGTTTGAAGAACGTGTTTTTTTGGTGTTGTTTTTTTTTGCTGGTGCTCTACCATTGATGAATTTTATCTAAAAGTTGGATTCGAGACTTTCGGGAAAAAGTGTCTCATTGGAGGCGCCAAGTTCCGAAATCGCCCCTTTTAAAACTTTTGCTTTCGTCAGACTTTTTTTATCACCCGTAAAGTCTCCCGTTCTTGGAAGAGCAAAGAAAAGTGGCCCACAAGAAATACAAACGCGACGGAATATGCCAAGGCCAGGAGAGTAAAGCAGGACCAGGGTGCCCACCGGTCTTCCGTTTTCAACTACGCCTAATATTATGCCTTCCTGAGCCTTTTTCGTCTGAGGAAAAACAATCCCAAGATTTTCTACACTGCCTTGACACCTGTGGACTTTGATCCGAGGAACGCCCAGGCAAAGCAAACCCGAGCCTTTCCACCGAAGCCCTTGTAGACGGCCGGCACAGAGGCCACCAGCCCAAAAGCATCGTATAACTCTTCCGTCACGGCCCGGCCCGGCCCTGAGAAACCGCCCTAAGCATGAGGGAGGGCGATTGTCCAAGCCACAAACCAGCACTTGCCTGCCTCAGGTAAACTGGTCCCTGGCGCGTCCTCCTTCAGCCCGTTCCCTCCCCGCCGTGTGAACTATTTGCAAAGGGCCAGCTGACTTTTCGCTGTTTGCAAAAGATGCATTTCTCCGGGTCAGGCATTTCCCCACGAAACATCGACGGGAGGCAGGTTCAAGTCAACCATGAAATGGTCACTTTTTAACCCCGTCCTATCCTCATTAGGGAACTATTCAAACACAGCCTGTTCTCAAAGGGGGCACTTAATGAGGGTAACTTGCCAACGCGACCTGCTGCAATTTTCATGAATTTACAAACTGAAGGGAATGAAGGGGGCTCGGACAAAGCAGGTAATGTCAAAGCAACTAACGCGGTTCATCCTGTTAAGCCTTCAAAACAGCCCACCTTAATGCAGTTCTAAAGGGGTAAAATAAATTATATTCTTTCATTCAAGAATGGTATTAGGAACAAAACTCAACACATAGTACTGCAAGATGTAGCAAATTTATTCCAGAATTTCCCATAAAAAATCACTTTAAAATGTCATGAGCCTATTTTCCTTATGGCCTTTGAACTCAGTGTATTTTCACTTAATTTCTTTGCTTAAAATTATTTCAACTGTTTTTGACACTTGCATAAGGCATGATTTGGGGCATCAGTTGAAGCCAAAAGTCTTCCATTTTCTTTTTGATTCACAAATTTCAGAAATGTTCTACAAGCACCTGGGCTTACACTGTAAACTAGAAAGCCAGAAACACAGGAAGTAGAAACAAAAGTAAATTTAGGACTAATACCAGTACACACCTCACAATAAAGCATTGTTTATTTAGCTGTGAGGGATTTTTTTAGGAAAAGAAAACCACATTTAGCTCGGTTTGGACAGCACCCTAAGCCATAACCATGAGTGGCTGGATTCATACAACACAATAAAGCAAGATCAAATGAATTGCATTGTGGCTGAATTTACATAATCCTTTTTAAGCCATAGTTTGGTTAGGTTGGCTTGGGCTCAGCATACTAGGAGTGTTCAACCATGTAATGCAAACCATACTGGTTTATGACTATAAATTATGGCTTTGTGTAGTTTGAACCTACAAATTATGGGTTACTGAATAAACCATGGTTAAGCAAACCACTGCTTATAAACTCAGTGAAATCTGAGATTACAAGGGCTAATACTATATATATAAAGTTATGTAATGGATTTTTTTTAATGACACAAATGTTCACTTTTAATAACCTGCATTTATTCCACCGAATCACAAACAATAATTGCAACAGATACATTTTAAATAAAAACATGTGAGAATAGATGAGATGCATTTTTCCTATGCATTCATGGATTTCCACCCTTCTTACTTTTCTTTGGAAACATTATCAAATAATTTCAGATTTATTTCAAGTTAAATATATTTGTAATCCATGTAATTGTTGCCCAAAATATAATTTCTATTACTGTATGAAGTTTTGTTGACAACTTTTCAAGCAATAGGTCTTCAGTTCCCATCTTTAATTCAGGGATAATGCTGGAACCTTCTGTGTTATCATAAAAGCTTACAGGAGTGGGTTTGATGAACTTGAAAAAATCTCAGTGTTGAAGTGTTATGCAAATATTAGTTCGAGTCTTGGTATTAAAAGTCTCTGTACTTCTCATTTCTCTAAAATCAAAGAACAGCAAGATTCTCTTTCGGGCTTGTCCCAGATTCAGGCCACCTTCCCCAGTATTCACACTAATGACACAGATTTTTATGCAGGTCTACCAATGGATCATCTTTTCAGACATTCACACTTAATACTGTTAATATAACAATAGTCATCTACCCATATTTACTAGGTTATATTTTATTAAATTAACCCAGGTCTCTGGATTTATACAATACACCAAATAGTAAATTAATTGCATTCACTAATTTTGTATAACACACTGCCATACCTATGAGCTAAAAACAATCAGGTTGTCGCAATTGGGTCTACATTCATGTAGCCTTTAGATCAGGTACGTTCAACCTGCAGCCCACAACCACATGCAGCCCTAGATAGCTAGTAACACAGCCCTACAAATAATTAAAAATATAAAAAAGGAAGTTTTTACAATATTATTTATTTTATAGGTGGCCCAAGACAATTCTTTGCTCAGTGTGGTCCAGACAAGCCAAACAGTTGGATGTCCATGCTGTAGATGCAGTTTGTCCAAGTCATTTTACTCTTTGTAACAAAATATGACTTTTTCTCCTCTATTACCACTTCAGAAATAAACTGACCAGCAGTCAGGTTCTGTCCTCATTTGCAGCTAAACACAGGACCAACAGGCCCTTACAAACCCAGTCTCCCCATGGTTCCTATGACATTATCCTTAATTTGTCTCCAACCATGATTGAAACAATCTAAAGTCATAACTGTTTTATTTCTGCTTTTATTGGTGTTAAGCCACTTAGGTTCGCTTTGTAAAATAGGTGGTTATACAACTTTTACTAAATAAGTACAGTTTTAAAGTAATACCTTCTCTGTTCAATTCTCATTGTTCCACCATGCATTATATTAGAAAAAGGTCAGGTGAGCTATTTTGGACTTAACCAAAGTAGTACTTTGTTTCCTAAGTGCTTGTCATCTGTCCCCATCCTTATTTTTGATACCAGTGTCTCTCCAAAATTCCAACAAATTGTTCAGTAGTGATTCAGAACAGATGCAATAAAGTCGGGATAGGGATTAATAATGGGAACAAGCAGATGTTCTCCTGGCATTCTTTTGTGCTGAGTCAAGGGTGATGGGATAGCTGTCCAATAGTGAGGCACATTTCAGCTTTGATAGTGGTCAGATCATTTTTCTCATCTGAGAAAAGAAAGTTAGCTTAGAGAGCAAACCGTTCTGAATGTACCATTCTGTCTTCCAAGACAGGGCTGGGCAATCTTTAGATCTTGAAACCTTTCTTTTTTATTCCTTCAGATCTGTATTATTAAAAAAAATGAAAGTGGAGTTTCTGAATATTTGAACATAAAAAACCATGAACACTCTCTTCATAGGAAGCAACCTCCAAAACCTTTCGAGAGCTGAAAT